GATCAAATTAAGAGGCAAAATAAACACAAATACACTTAAAACGACTACGAAGACAGTCAAAATGAACACAGTGAGATGCAAAATGACCACAGAGCAGTTAGAAAGAACTGCAAAATGACCCAAAAGAGACGAAACACAGTTAGAATTTCATAAGCAGTGCCCTGAAGTGTAACCAAACATTACATTTGTGTGTAATACGATCACATTTAATGAATGTCAAACTTTAATCCACATTTACACACAGATGCTGTTTGGTTTCTGAAGACAACATCACGTCACACACAAGCTACTGAGTGTAATAGTCAGGATGAGCCCTGATCATGGCTTCATTAAAGGCCTCTAGAAAGCAGCTTTGTGTTTGTTCACGTAGATTAAAAACGTTAGATGAACAGAACATGCACTAACTCCAACATGTGACCCTTCACCTCCCCGTGAACATAAAGGCCGAGGCTGGCTTCATACCTGCAGCTCCTCTCCACACCTGTCAGCTGCTCTATCCTGGTCCTCAGGCGACAAACTCGCAGCTGAATCAATCCCACAAAAACTCACCTCATCCAGCCCGGAGACTCTCCCTCAGCCGGTCCCTGCAGAACTCCCGGATGGGCCGAGCGGTTCAGGGAAAAATAGAGGCGCGATAAAGCCGAGAGCCGAGAACCAGGTGAGGGAGAACGCCCCACGGTGCACCCTCCTCCCCTCGCAGCTCTCCACCCCAGAGAACCGGTCGGAGCGGTCGTCCCCTTGAGGAACACAAACACTGAGGCCCGGGCAAGTTCTCCCTTGATATTCCTGTTCTGCTGAAATCCCACATAACCGGCCAAACCGGTTCCATAAAGCCCTGTGTGGCTAGAGGGACTGGGAAACTGAATTGCCCAACACAGACGCCTGCAATCGTGCATTAGAGAGAGACGTTTGGAGGATTGTTTTTAGATTATTCTCGATCTTAATCCTGCACATTTGAGTGCGACAGTAACTGTGTGTTGTTGTTCTGATTCACGTCCAGGGAATCGGGTGTTTCTGAGCACGTCGCCACATGTGGGTGTGGTGGCCGCGGCGACGTCAAAATTTGATGGCAAACAGCAGACAATAGCGTCGAGGCGTTCATTGTCTCAGAAACCAGACACAGCGAGGAAACTTCCTCCTTCCTGAACCGGATTCTTCACGTCTAAGTGCACCGACATGAGGGGTCACGTGCCTCTATTGTCTGAGCTCGTCATCGCAGAGAAGCCGGTCGAGGCTTTTTATTCGAAACCGCCGCCGCCAAAAACCGAATCTCACGTTTGAAATTTAGCCGAGACGGATCCAGAGTGGTGGAAATAGTTCTGCCAGCGTGAGAGGTGTGATTGCAAAAAGGCCACAAATGATGATGAAAAGGTACAAAATGAACACAGAGAGACTCAAATATACCACAGTAAGGGGCAAAATTAGACAACTTATTTACAAAGAATTGCAAAATGATCAAAACAAGTTCATCAAGTTACGACAAAGAGATGAAAAGAAGCAAAAAGGTAGAAAATAAACACAAACGGACTCAAACTGACCCCAAAAAGGCCACAAATGATGACAGTTGGAGGCTAAATGACCACAAAGAGACTCAAATATACCACAGTGAGGGGCAAAATTACACAGTGTATTACAGAGAAGTGCAAAATGATCAAAACAAAACAAGTTCATCAAGTCACAAAAAAGCAACAACAAAGAGACACAAAATGACCACAGACACCCCAAAAGACACAAAAGCAACAAAAAAAAGGCGCAAAATGATGGCAGTTGGAGACTAAATGACCACAAAAACACAACGAATGCTCACAAAGAGACACAAAGGTGCCACACGGAGACACAAAATGGCCACAATGACGAGCAAAATGAACACAAAGAGACACTAAATGACTACAGAGAGACACCCGGAGAGAAATAATTGATCACAAAGAGAAAAACGTGACCACAAAGAGACNTGTGAAAAAATACGATTTACTCTAATCAAATTCTAAACACTTTGTGCTCCTCTGTGCCACCATGAAGCCATTCGTGACTCAGCTACAGCCAGCAGTCACGTGACAAACATGCCAGGAGTTTTTTTTTTTACTGCTGGTTGTGTTTATCAAGGGCAGGTAGAAGACACGCATGAATTTAAAATTTAAGTTAGTAAGAAGTTAATTCCACTGTTTGGTTTTCTTCTCCAGCAGCGGTGACACGTGTGAGCACTTGTACATGTTGATTCCAAGGTTTTAAGGAAATTAGTTTAGTTATTCTTAATGGTTTATGTTTTTATTACTTTGTTCTACTTCACAAAACATTTTTAAATTCTTTCGTCTGTTTCTACAGCGATGTAGGACTGAAAAGTGAGTCTACAGTGAAGACAAACAGGAAGTCAGACGCTTAATACAAACATTTATTCTCTAATTCAGTTTTAAGCTTTGCTCCCTTAAATCCTTGTTGTTTATTATTTGCATCGCTCTCCTCTGTAGCATATATAAAGTGAATATTTGTTTCACTAAAATATGGTAAATACTCATAAATATCATTTAAACCGTCCAACTGCTGCTTTGTTGTCACGCTCATCTCAGCCCCCTCGAACCAGAATGTAATGATTTACCTGCTGAGGACTTGTTTTTTTGCCCTCAGAAAGGGATTCCCACAATGCAACTGTGCAAACACACACACACACACACACACACGCGAGCGCAGCAAACGACTATTATTGAGCATTTTGATCAGCGCGGCGTCGGCTCCTTCGACATGTCAGGATATGTCAGCGGAGAGGCTTCTCACATCACCTGAGCAGAGCAAGAAAAGACCTGCCTGCCTTTATGTTGCTGCTATCTCCAGATCATTACACACACACACACACACACACACACGGTTTAATATTTGTGTGGTTACCCTGTTTTTCCAGTATCCTCACCCTGAAACTCTAACTGCTGCACCACAGCCGACACACGACATCACCACATTTATGAGCAAACACACAAAGATGCAGCAGAGATACAGACGACACAGAAACACACATTTTTTCACCACAGCTGTAGTTTAAGGCTTGCTTCCCATCATCCCAGTAGTTTTGCATAAAATCAGCTGATCCAGATGTTGGTATATTAATATGGAGCGTAGCAAAATATCTTATTTAAACTGTAAGAGTCAAAAAAATGCATGAATTTGGTGCAAATACTGATCACATTCATGCATTTTGATATTCTGCCTTCAGCTTGTCACACAAAAGCTCATAAATACATGTCACCTCCCATCATTTCGCAGGCTTCTTTGTTGTTTTACCAAACCAGAGCTGCTGTTTACATCTCAATTACAGCTGATCCAGATGTTGAACTAATAAAATAATCAGAGCCTAGTAGACTATTTTGTTAATTTTAGCTGTNAAGACACAAAATGACCACAAAGAGGCTCAAAATGGACAAAATAAGACACAATATGACCACAAAGACACACAAAGTAACCACAGCAGGACACAAAATGACCACAGAGCGACAGCGACAGTCAATGAAATGAAAAATACTTCATTTATCCCAAGTCAAAATGGCGTCTGTAGCTTCAAATGCATCGTAATGAAACTGTTGCTTTAACCAATCAGATTGAGAGTTGGTGATCCCAGGACCAGCTAGCTGGCCTACGATGACATCAGCACTTTAGCGTCCTCTGATTGGACGGTCAGAGAGCTTAGTCAAAGCTAGTGGTTTGTGTCTGTAGCGGCCTGCACAAGCTAAAACTTTATCGTAAAAGCATTGTTTTATTTATTTATTTTTTAATTAGTTCTGACTGACTAGTCCTTCAGGATATCAGTATGTGGAACTCCCAACTAGTCAGTCAGAGCTGATGAAGCCTCTTGGATGAGAGGTGGAACGTCTTCAAGGAACTCAAGCAAGTCCAGTTGCTATGATTAATCTACGAGAATTATATTTACATTTTTGTCATTTTATTGGGTTGGTATTGATGTTCCTGTTAGATGTGATGTATGTGGTGCAGCTGTAATGGAGACTTGTTGAATCGCTTCAACTGGGTTTCTTGCTTCAGTGATGGCATTTATTCTCTCTACATGAGATGCAACGTCCTGTCATGCTGCCTTTCTGTATAACACTGATGGTTTCTAAAGCCGTGGCGTCATAATGACGGAGTTTAGAGCTGGTTTGATTCAGGCAGGACGCCACTGAAGGCCCAGGAGGAAAATACACGGGACATAAGCAAAATAACCGTACAAAAACCATACAAAAAACACACAAAATGACCACAAAAGAGCCACTGAAGGCCCAGGAGGACAATGCACGGCACATGACTGGTGCAAAATAACCCCAAACAGACGGAAATGACCAAAAACTGAAAGCAAAATGATGTAATTCAATTACAAAGAACTGCAAAACAATCAAAAATAAACCAAACATGTTAAATTATAATGTCATTCGTCGCATCTTAAAGTCTGATGCAACATTTCAGGTTGTGTGTAATCTGCTCAGATGT